GGAATTAGTTAAAGTTGAATTATACCAGTTATCTATTTGACTGATGTCAAAGCCTTTGGAGTCTAGCTGTCCATCAAAACGATTAATAAGTACAGCAGTGCTGTGATCGGCGGGTCTCCCACTGACTGGTGACACTGATAAGGGATGGAAGGCATTCTTCCCTGAATGGGAAATTGGGACACTGTCCTCTGGCTGCAAATGGAGGCAATGGGGATGAGCAATGGGTATGTCAATTTAGTTTTCTGCTGGCTCACAGACAGGTGGAAATCCTTCTGAGATTGAAAATGTATTTATTTTTATTTCTCTGAGACATTGGGAAGACCCCTACATCAAGCCTTGCTACAGCCTTCTTTTTCTGTTGACATCAAAATTGTAAACATGCTATATATAAGGTTCTCTTTAAGATGATTTGGAAGCTGCATTTGGTATTGAGTGCAGCTATCCCTTCCCTTGCAAGGATTACTGAGTTGCCCTGCTTTCAGGCCCTGAAGGGCAACCTACAAATAAATATACAAGGCTGCCCAGATGTTAATATTAGTCACAGAAACCCATTCTGAGCTGGCAGGCAGAAGAGAAATGATTTGGAAGCTGCATTTGGTATTGAGTGCAGCTATCCCTTCCCTTGCAAGGATTACTGAGTTGCCCTGCTTTCAGGCCCTGAAGGGCAACCTACAAATAAATATACAAGGCTGCCCAGATGTTAATATTAGTCACAGAAACCCATTCTGAGCTGGCAGGCAGAAGAGAAACAGCTTTTTCTATACTGACCTCATCTCTGTAGAATGCCCTAGCATGGCACATGTGCAAAATTTCATCCTGGTGTTTTATAGCTTGGATAATGCAGCCTTCTTTTATTTAAATAAATAGATGTTCACTTTTGGTTTATGACTATTATGGCTGTAGTTTTAGCTAGATCATATTTTCAATATCACAGTTGTTTTGCAAGCTTTCTTGAAAGGCAATTAGAAAATATTTTAATGATAATTTAGAAAGCTTTACTTTTTTGCCTATACTATATTCTCAGAATATACAGAATATCCTACCAATTAAGAAAAGAAACGCTTAAGCTTGTTTGATGCAACAAAGAAAAAAAATGAGAACCTCCTTCAACAGCTTTGACTAATTGAGTTGAAAGTACCATGAAAATGAGATGCTAACCCCATGACATTTATACTGACACTATAATCAAATGTATGTTAGCAAATTTGCAAATGTAATAAGCTTTCATTAAAAAAGATTTAAGACAAGCAACACAGACAATTCTACACACACTAGACAGCTTCTTTTTAGTAGAAACAAAGGTAATAAATTATGGGTGCCATCCCAAGGGTCATGGTGGTAAACTATTATATAAGTAGATTAGGTCAATTCTTTCATGGATGCCTAAGACTGGACACAGCAAATATTGTTGGTTCCTTTAAACAGTCCTCTCTAAATGTTAATACTTGTATTTTTTTCTGATGCCCTTCCCAGAACTCCTAAGAGGATCCAAATTCCTCATTACTGTCAACTGTTCTTCCAAGGCCATGGCTACTGCCCATTAATTTCCAATGCAAACAAAAACAAGTCCTTAGTATAACAGAATTTTTCCCATTCCTACCCCCCCCCCATGTTACCCTTATAATGCCCCTCCTTCCTTTTCTATTATGTCGCATTCACAAAAATTTAGCCAGCAGCTACCTTGAGAGATGTGCCCCCACACAACTGGGCCTCTCCCAGAACCCTCCTGAATCAGTTGAAATTCACC